AGCTTTGCCATTGTCACAAGATGTAGCTATCCAAGAAACACACTGAGACGTGGGCATGCACTCACCCACCCACATCCTCATTCACTCACCCATGCCCATGTGCACACACGCACCGTAGAACGTGCACTCTCTTAATCTATACTAGTCATTGTGAAGTTGCTGTGTAAGTTAACACAACTGTAAATACATTGTTTGCAGGAGGAATACTTGCAGCTGGGGAAGGGGCACAATACAGGAAAGGCTTCATGAGTCTCCATTTTCTAACTGATAGTTCAAATTGTGGGGGGAGCTCACTCTTTCCTTTTTGAATCTCCTCCAGTTTAGGGGAACCTCCCACACCTCAGCATCTCAGCTTCAGATGTATACATGTGAGGCCTCTCTTTTCCTGCATTGTGGAACTGGAATGGCAAATACATCACTTTGACCTGAGTTTCCAATAACATTTGCATATACCTGTAACGTCATGTTTTAAAGGGTAGAGTAAGACTCAGAAACGCTTCTAATGCAATCTTGAAAGACTATTTTTTCTTTGTTTTTTCCTTTGGTAGTAGCATGTCTTTTTTTTTTTTTAAGGTGTTTAAATATTGCAACCAGTAGTGAATTGATCAGGAAAGAAACTTAAAAAGGAGACTGGGCTACTTTTCCTGTATTGTTGTATTCAACGTGTGCAAAAACGTAAAACAAAAAACCGATCCATCTTGCTGCTTTTTAATACTGAGTTTTCCGTGGCTTGGGTTCTTAAAGCAATGAAATGTCTACACGGGTTGGATTTTTTAAACATGCACAGAATTTTTTGCTTCCAATAAAGTATCTAATCAAAACACTAAGAACAAAAAGAAGATTGTCTCTTCTCATTTTTCCTTGCTACTAAGATCAGAATGGTAGATCTTAGTCCCATCTTGCAAATATGATGGTGTGAGTGAGTTGAGGAGGAGCAGGGAATCTGCTGGAGTTGCTGTTCATCTCCACACCTAATTTCTGGGCACCTACATTCATTTTTCACCTTTGCTTCTATTGCCGTTAAACAGAGCAATCTTTGCGATTTCCTTACAGCGAGAGTTGGGAATGCCTTCCAACTGGAGGGTGAACTTTTATTTTGGAGAACTTCTTGATAACTGCAATCCAGTAGCAGATGGGGCCACAGGGAATGACGTGGGACCCAAAATATCTGCATGTTTTAGCTTTATTTAAATATTTAAGTTCTGCCTAATAACATCAGACCTCAGTGTTGTAAGTAAAATCCATTTAAAATAAAATCTAAAACAGGGAAAGATCATGCAAAATGCACATCATGGTTGATACCTGTATGAGGCCAACCAATAGGCCCCAAATATAATAACTAAAAAAACATGATGATAGTGTAGTGTGTACTTGTTTGACTTTTGGACTCAGTAAGCAGGGTTCAAGTCTCTGCTCAGCCACGGATACCCACTGAGTGATCTTGGGCGAGTTGCATTCTCTCAGCCTCAGAGGGAAGGCAAATACCAAACTTCTGAACAAATGTTGCCAATGAGAACTAGTGCCGTGTTGTGATGTGAGTATTAGACTATGACTCTGGGAGTTGTTAATTGCTTTCAAGTCAACTCACGGCGCTGTGAATGAGGGACCTCCAAGACGATCTTCAGCTACTCTGCTCCTGTCCTGCAAACTCAGGGCTGTGTCCTCCTTGATTAAATCTATTCATCTGGTATGCTTTCTTCCTCTCTTCCTACTGCCTTCTACTTTTCCAAGCATTCATATCTATTTTAGTGAGTCATGCCTTCTCATAATTTGGCCAAAGTACAACAGACTCAAGCTTGTTTTCTGTTGCTCTAGAGGCTAGGACACAGAGCAATGGATTCAAGTCATAGGAAAAGAGATTCCACCTAGGAAATTCTATGAAATTTAGCTTCTTGTATTATATACACTCATTCCTCCACATTTGCAGATTTGATTCACAGATTTTATTGACATGTTCTCTCTAGGAATATTTAGGTCCTCCAGTGCAACTCTGTGGTCAACTTGAACCAAAAGTCACACTGAAGGACCTAGGGATTCCTAGAGGGAACACTTCTCTAGGCATTTGTAGGTCAACAGCAAGATTCTTCTCCCAAGATAATACATTATTTCATGCCTCAAACTCCCACAAGATTTAAAGGAGATGTCTCCAAAGTACAACAGCCTCAGTTAAGTCCTTGTGGCTTCTAGGGTTGATTTGCTCTTGGATCTGTTTGTCTTCTTGGTGGTCCATATCTGTAGAACTCTTTTCCAGCACAACATTTCAACATTCTCACTAACCTAGGCATTTGTAGCTCCTGCAGCACAATTCTATGCTCGGTGTCTGGCAGATGTTGACCACAGAGTTGCCCTGGAGGACCTAGAGAT